GAACATTACTCCACAGATGGCAAAGCGTGGGACCGTACCCACGACTGCTCTTGGGGTCACGCAGAAAGTTAATAACTCGAGACCAAGCCAAATTAGCGAGAGTTAAGAAAGTATGAAACAAAACTGCAGCGCCATCTGCTGAACAGATGTTGTTGTAATGTTCAACAGATCGCGCTACAGTTCTTTTCAAATTTGTTAACTCTCGCTCAGTTGGCTTCGTCTCAAGTGAATAACTTCAAGCCATCCATAAGGGCGGGTGGTTGGGACGTAGGTGGGCCGAATTTTTTTTTTTAATAAAAGGTGGATTTTAATAAAAGCTTGGGCAAGTGTTTTAATGAGTGGCCGCAAAAATCTTTACAACAAACATCATGCGTCGTGTTATTTTGAAGGTGAATTTTAATAAAAGCTTAGGCGAGTGTTTTAATGAGCGGCCGCAAAAATCTTTACAACAAACATCATGCGTCGTGTTGTTTTTACCAATATGTTTGCTTAAAGCGAGGTACGACAATAGGAGGGGGTGATAGATCACCGACAGTTTTGACACTAAAAAGTCGATCACAACCTGTTTGAAGTTGGACATGCCTGTTCTAAGGGAGGCTATGTCAGTGATGACGATGATAGCATGTGTGGAAAAGAGACTCCAAACACCATATAAACTATATGATGAAGTTCTTTCATTTATCTCAATTAAGAGGACTGTGTCAGAACAAATGTAATTTGACGATTTCTGGGGAAACAGACATGGCAACTGTTGCAGATCATGAAATTCATGATTCCATAGAGAACTGCGTCACTATGAAAAGCTTCCAAAGCACCGGTCCACTGCGAGATATTCATTACCAATATCATACTTGAACATAATTTAAACAGTTCTATATTTTGGAGTTGTGGCTGTGCTCTCTAAAGTATGATTTATAGTAACACACCACTCATTAGACCAGTCCCAGAATCTTGGACAGTCCACAATCAAGGAGAGTGATGCATTAAGCAAAAACATTCTCATATCTATAGTTTATGATATATTTGTATTGATAGGCCTATATTTTTTGATCACTTGTTGTAATTGTAATATACTTCTGCTGGTGTCCAGAAATGACAGAAATTAACTCATCACATCAGAAATTCTGGAAAAAAAAAAAAAGTTTGCTTAAACTGATTGGTATTGCTGTTTGAAGTTAATTAAACATATGGCACATAATAAAATGTTTACTGAGGGACTATGCTACAAGCCGGAAGGTCGCGGGTTCAAGTCCCGATGAGGTCATTGGATTTTTTTCAATTGACCTAATCCTTCCGGCCGCGCTAGGCCCTGGGGTTTACTCAGCCTCTAACAGAAATGAGTACCAGGAATTAATTAAATAATTTTCCTGGGGAGTGAAGCGCGGCTAGCGCGTAAGGCTGACAACCTTACCGCCATCTTTGAGCCGACTGTCTAGATAATGTGGGATCCCTTAACGTCTCACAACCCTATGGGCCTTCATGGCCTGTTACAGGGATAGCTTTACTTACTTACTTTACTATGAGGGACAGTAAGTAAATAGGCCATAAAGGAATATAAAACGTAAAACGTGATATCTGAACCTGAAAAAATAATTCTACGACTCATCATGCTTGTCCCCTCGCTTTACCAGTGTGTCAAAACCCTCAGAATAGAAGTCTCTTGACTATTGTCTCAGCCTCTTCCACACATCTGTTTCAAAATCTTCGTCATCAGTGAAAAATTTGCCACCCAAATGTGAACCGCTTTACATGACAGTCACTTCCCTCCATGAACAAGAAACATTTTTTACAGATGGCCATGTTGCCCACTAATAACATGGGAGTTATGCGGGGCTGCTCTGTAACATGTAACAATTATGAAATCAGAATTTTTATGAAACACTGATGAATAACACGTCTTCCTGCACGCTTACATGCTCTGCCTGTCCAGATGCTTCAGATTTTGTACCTGCTACTGCCCTCTCAGGCATATTGATATTTTTGTTCATGAACATCCCATACATAAAAATGGAGAATGTGAAATGAATGGAAATTTCTTGTCATCACATTTCATAACAGAGAATGTGGGTGAATGTATTAATTATTGCTGTCAAATATGGTATTTTTGAACTATTCATTTGTTTCAAACCAACTTTCACACTGGAAGAAATTATGTGGGAGTTAATGTACTGAATAAATTGAGTGACAAAAATTATATCTTGCCCTTTAGTACCATTATATATGAAAACAAAGCTAAGAAGTGAAACCGAAAACATGGGGTAAGTACTTCCGTGCCATGCGGAGGAAGTGAAACTGAAATAATATATGTACTTGTAATCATATGCTCTAATTTTTGACGTGCAAAGAATTGGAAAAGAAATAAGCAGTGATGCATCTCTAAGAAAGAAAGTGCACGCACACACCATCTCATGGGATGGAGACATGAGACTGGTACACAATAATAAACTGTTATAATGCTGCTTGTGATGGACAAGACCATCTGCCATTTATTAGGAATAATTACAGAGCACATTTCGAACAAAGTGGCTTTAAAATAAATAATAAGCATAATTCCGGTACAACATAAATATATAATATCTAAAACATTATTATTATCATACACTCAGCTAACATAATGTAAGATGTATTGGAAACGAAGAATTTCCCCATTCTCACTAAACCAGATCCAAACACTCTCGTTTCTGAAGCTTTGGACCATGACTAGATTGAAAGATATCACATCATCAGCATCACCTCGAACATCCATATCTGCTTATTTATTTGACTCTATTTCTATACAACTGCTATCTGCTAATTTACACACTTATATTTTGGGTTTATACTGGCTTCTACATTTCTGACCTCCACACAATTCTTTACAAAATAAATGTGGAATAAACAAATTGAGACCTATTACTTGTTCCTCCAAATAAATACAGAAATCATACATAATAAAATTTGTACAGAACAGTCCTTAAATTATGAAGATTCATAATAATCAAGGATAAGAACTGAAAGGTTATTTATTCTTCCTGCATGCTGGAATAAGAAATAAACTGTCACTCAAATCAAACTACCAAATAACAACACAATGACCATCAACAAAATATTCATAACTATAAGAAAATCTTATTAGAACTACTCATTTAAATGAAAGTACTCAGCTATGAAATACAAGCTAATAATAACATGTAGGCAGAATAATGGGCATGTAGGAGTTTTTAAAATCTATATTAATTCATCAGTCCAATTGTTAACCCCCTGGCCTGAACAACTGGTACTTTGGACAAAATCATCTGATTTATAAATACAGCATAAAATGATGACTTCACAAGGCCACATGCAAGGACTGGTCACTGCCTTAATGGCATGTCATTAAAGGAATATTAAATAACAATAAAATAAATAAGATGAAATAACTCAAGACATATTCATCAACAGGAATATGGCACAGAAGAAAACCAAGATCACGCATCATTAGTTATGACACCGAAAGGAAAGCGAGAAGAGATAATCACAAACAAATAAATGAGTTGGAATAAAGGCAATACTGAATCAAACTAAAATAAATATGATAAAATGTTAAGACACATACTACAATTGGAAAAGCAAGAAAGGGAAAAATCTGAAACAATGGAATGAGCAATGTACTTGAAATGAAGGGGAAATTAAAATCAAAAGGATAAAGGTTTCAAAGTGTCCATGGAATGGAATACTATCCATTATCTAACAGAATAATGAGTATAAAAAGAATCCTTCCTGGTCTATACAAGACTCAACTTACACAAATATTACTTAATGTAAAACACCCCCCAAAAGTAGTTTATGCTTTGTAAGACTTGAGGCTTTCACGGCGGTGACTATGAAGAAAGCTGCTTTCTTCATAGTTTATGCTTCTTAAGAAAGCATGTTTGCAATTTTACAAAAGTACAAATTGTTCTGACATGTAAACACTAGGGTAAATCCATACCCCAATGACAGAGTACATTACACATACATTTATTGAGCTGTTAAATGTTCAACTATTTCTCTCAATAGAGACAGATATATTTCAGACCTTTCTGTGCTAGTTTTGGTTTGATAAGAGGCTTTTCTCTCTGTTTATTTATATCAATACTAGGTCATCTACATATGAAAGACAACAAATGGTAGGAGAGTTTACATTGATTGCTATTAACAAAATATAAACATGATGAATGGTACTATCCTCTGGGCTACAATGCCATCAAATCTGACAGAAGTTTACTGACAGTTCAGAGGGACTTACTGTCTCTACTAAGGCTGAAGCGTAGTCCAGGGTTGCTGCTAGCTTCTAGTGGCTCTTTGCTTAGGTTACGCTTCAACCCTGAAGATGGAGACAGTGTGTTCCTCCAAAACATTGCTGAACTTCTAGGCTATACAGCATTACACTCCAGAACAGAGTAAGTACCCATTCATAATAACAGCCTTAAGGACTTCAAAACCAATACAAAGATGTTAACTGCTGTAGCGAGAATTTCTGGGTGACACATCCCACTCATAGCAAGAAACTGAAATGGAGAGTACATGAGCAAATAAAGCATGTCACATGATTATATACAGGAGGGCTGCTGGAGAGCACCATAAAGCATGGGCCATATGTAATGTATGTGGAACCTGTCTCTCCAAAAACACACAAATAATAAGTTGTGCATGTAGATCACATTCCACAGCACTGATGGGTTAAATTCTATGCTTGTAAATCATATGATGACAATAATATTCACATGGTTACTGAACATGTCTTCATGTGGATCTTGCCACAGTGAGAAGTCTGGAATATAAAGAAAAGGAAGTAAGAATAACATTTGTATTCAAGGCACATTTGTAATATTTATCATGGAAAAATTCCATCTCCCACAGTATATTAAATTTAATAAGGGTTGAGTCCATGTTTTATAAAGTAATGTTAATATTAAGTGTCAATATACGACTATCTCGGATGTTTATGGTGAACTTACTAAAATAATAAAAATTGTTCTTGTGCATCACTGAGCATCATGCCACACTGACATGTGGGAGAGTGCAAGCATAAGTCCAGACATTCTTAACCACAACATTAGGCAGAAATGAGTGGTCAACTATAATGTTAAATTCAGTCTTATATGATCAATACAAGTATAGTTACAAAGAAAATAAATATATTCCTCTACTATAAAATCTGGAACAACATATAGAGGAGAACTATGGATTATAAATAAAAATATACATAAGAAATTATTACGAAGAGAAATGGACTTTTAAGAGATGTGTAAAGAAAACTCTTCAGAATAAAGTCCAGAATGAGATAATTGGAGAAGAGGCTGAAGTAGGGAAAATGATAAAAGATTGGTTATGAGAAAAATAACTAGTATGTTATGGACGTTTTCATTGAATGCAGGTTCACCAGTTACAATACTAGGGAGTGAAATGAATCCAATACAGCACTGGAAATGGGGTAGACTGTGATACTGACTGTGTTATTCTGGCTCCCTGCTGTCAAATATTCTGATTGCAATAGAAAAATACAGAAACTTGGAGATTTCTTATGCAGCTCTCAACTAGCCCAGGCCTATAGAGAGTGCCTTCTGCAGATGTAGAGGACTCAACACTGCAGAATGCTTATAACAGGAAAATAGAAGATGTAGTCCCATTCACTCCAGTGAAGTGAATAAAGTGACTGGTTGTATACTGGACCACCAGGGTTCATAACCTGGTGTGGACATTTGGATTTTTCTTCTTCATCACTTTCACAGTAACTCTGGGAACAATTAAGCCTTCTGTCCAATGATACAGTACATTCTTCCCCAGCAGCCAGAGTTTGAAACTGACCGTCCTAATAATGAGGTCTAGAATGCTTAGTGCTTTACTTCTTTGGCCCTTATGCCATTTAAGCAGAAAGAAAAGAAATTTTACTGTTTAAGGATACCCAATTACTTTAACAGTTAGCATATACAAGGTTCTTGGTTGTGTTCAAATGTTGCTTTTACATTAAAAAATAACAATGACAAAAGATCTACCTGAAGACAAGCACATGGACAAAAGATATAACATTATATATCAGACATATTTAGACATGATGCAGAGTGTCCACCATAATTCTGGTTCAATGCTATACAGTCTCCATACTGACAGCATCGTTAAACAACCACATTCGAGATAATTGTGGTGTAACTTCATTATAAAATATTCAGATGCAGAACTGTGCACTATGTAGACCAGTGGTTCTCAACCTTTGTCAGACTGCAGCCCAGTAAATTCTTTTTTCTATAAGAAGAGGGCCTGGCATAATTAATGCCAGGGCCCAGTAGTTGAGAAACACTGATATAGACATTTGTGGACAAGCCCATTAAGTTTAACATCCTCTCTCACAAAATTATAATCACAAGTAATGATATTATAATCTCATTAAATAAATCACATAATCAGTTACATACAAAGGTAACATCACCACCATCATCATGTCTTTTACTTGTAGATTGCAATGCACAGGGCACTTGAAAACAGAATAAACCATATGAGCTTCAGACGCTTTGGCTGAATCCTATAGAATAAGTTGACACTGAAGTACGTAAATTAGAGAGCTTCCAAACTAAAATAATTTATTTAACTGTCTTTAGGTAAATATCTCCATTTCACATGGACAAATGGAAATTCCAAGGCAAATCTTTATAAAAAAAAAATATAGTGCCCAGGAACACTAAAAGTGATATAATATAACACTTCTTACAATGACACATTAAAGTACACATCATACCCCAAACTATACTTAACTGACATTATCATAAAAACTAAAAACAAAGCCAATGATGAAGAATCTGGGATAATTATGTGCATGTAAATGTGTGTATGTAAGAAACAACTGGTTAAACAAGACGGCAGCCTTCACAAACTAGCTTCCAAGAGCCAAGAACTGTTGGCTGACATATCTCTGTCAATCCTCTTGTATCTGTTCTTTGGGCCATCCTTTCTTCTCAAATACTGCAAAACTCCTTTCAACCATCTGGTATCTGCAATGCATGTCTACAAACATAAACCAAATCCTTGTAGTGAATGAAATTCTGATTAAAAATGCAAAACAGACACTTACATATGCACGTGCACACACACACACACACCAGGTTAGGATTATTCACAGCAGAAAATTAAAAACGATTAAGGCACAGCATCTTCTAATGGCATGATGTTCATACAAGTTTCACGGAAGTATATCAGATGGTTCAACAGGTATTTGGAGAAAAACACAGATGAGACCATGGACATAATACCATAAGCCCCTCTTTCATTATAAAAAAGGTGTTTTAAAACCCCATGGAAAAGAACTGCCAATGAAGAATACAATTTGCAAGACTTTTCTATATTTTCAGTAACACCTAAGCCAGTCATAGTGATGTACCATCTCAGACATGCATTATACTGATTACTCCAAAACCCAAACCACTGGCTCAAATTTTACTCAGAGCAAGGCAGTTTCTCTACATACAGTATGCGCCAAAGTATACAGTACTGAAACTCGCGCATCTCAAACGCGCATGTGCGTTTGTTGACAGGGCATAGCTCCAGCCACACGTGTTCCCAGTAGTGAAAAGGAAGTTGTGTTGTGCATTTGTTGGAAATGGGTCTCTCAACAGAGGAAAAAGTATTCATAGTTGAGTATTATTTCCACCCATATGGAAGTGGTCACCAGACAACTCGCTTCCTTGGTTTTGAGTGGCCAAATGTTGTTGTTCAGAAACTGCTACATAGTACACGTGTGACAATATGGTATGCCATCTCAGCACATGGTATATTAGGCCCCTATTTCATTGAGGATGAGGAAGGTAATGCTCTTACCGTCACCCAAGAACGCTACAGGGACATGGTGATCAGACCATTTCTTCAGGATTTGAGAAGGTTCTGTCATGCAAGGGGCCTTCACATGAATAGAAAGTGGTATCAACAGAATGTCTTTTCATTTCAGTACTGTATTTTTGGTGCATACTGTATTTTTGTGAAACCTGTGATGATACAAATCCTGTAATAGTCTTATTTGCCATTCACTGCAAGTCTGTATAAGCATCCAAGTTTCATGGTGCTTTGTTTCTCACCCTGAAGGAAGAGCATAGCTTAAGGTTGTTTAAGAACAGGAACCAAAGAGAATAAATGGACCTAAGAGTAAGGAAGTAACAGGAGAAACACAATACAAAGATTCATAAACTGTACTCTTTATCAGTTATTATTAGGGTGGTCGAATTAAGGAGGATGAGACAGAGCATACAGCACATATGGAAGAGATGAGAAATGCATACAGAATTTTGGATGGTTGAACCTCAAGGGACCATGTTTGTGGATCCCTTGTCACCACAGCATTACACACTCTCAAACTGCAACTCAGACGTGGAGGGTAGCTGTCAACATACTGCATAAGCAGTAGCACAGAGTCAAAAGGGGGTGGTCCTCCATGTTGGAAGTTGGTCTGGGGGCTAACAACACCTCCCCATAAAAGCAAAGCATGTTAACAAAACATTATACAGAGCCTTTGACTTGAGGGATTCCTCAGAATGACCTAAGCAATGAAAGATGAACATGAGATATGGAATGAAGAAGGTAAAGGGCCTCTGTAGGGCAGATTCATAAAAAAACAGCTGCAAGGGACTTTACAATGTGTAAATTACATTTAATGAGAACACAGGAGGTCATATGGGCCAAGGATGGCACTGAACCTGCAAACAAATTACACATTTTTCTATGAAAATGGGAATGTGAATCATGAATTATAGGTAACATTTTTCACACATAAAGGAATCTTATCAACAATTAACATTCTCACTCGCAGCAGCTCTGCCACTGGCCAACCTGTTCCCCAGACATTTCTGGCAACACACCAATAGTAATAGTTCATGGTATTTCATGGCATAAAAATTAGCAGCAAATGATCTACACGCATCCATGGATTCACAAAAGGTAATGACATGCCCCATTGAGTGAGAGGAAAATGTGTGTGTTCAAAGTGCATTCTGAAAAATTCTTTAAGACATATTACCACCCAACCTTGGCTCATTATCCAGTCCAGTCATTAAATCCATGAAATCAGTTGAAAATCAGTTCAGAATCTTTTGTCTTCTAGTCTGCTATTTAGAATCATAAAGATTAAAATAGAGAGAACAATAATTTTGCTGTAGTTTTAATGGGTGTGAAAGATTAAGAGATGAATACAGACTGAAGGTGTTCAAGAGTAGGGCGCTGAGGAGAATATCTGAACCAAAGACAGAGGAACTAACAAGAAGCTGAGGAGCTTCATAATTTGGAACACACAAATCAAGAAGGATGAGATGGGCAGGTCATGTAGAACATGCAGATAAGAGAAATTCATACAAAATTTGTCAAGCAAATGTCAAATAGAGCACTAGGAAGACCTAGATATACATGTATGGATAATGTTAATAATATTAAAATGTATGTTAATTATATAAGATGGGGGGGGGGGAAGTTGGACTGAATTCATCTGAGGACAGGAGCCAGCAGCAGGCTCTTATGAACAACGTAATGAATATCTGGATTTCACATAATTCTGAGAATTTCTTCAGTAGTTGAGAAAATTGTTAGTTTTTCAAGGACAACTAAGTTCCACATAGTCAGTCAGTTAAACAAAAAGGGGAAACACCAGTTGGAAGTCCTAAACATAGAGATGAGGAAAATACTAAAATGAATCTTGAAGGAATAGAATGAAGATGTGAAGTGAAACTGTCAATGTACAGGACATTCTGTCTCTCGTCAAGTCACCTGGGTGCAGATATATTCGACATTCATCCTAAATGGCTAGGTCAAAGTATGAACACATTTTTATGACATTCTGTATGCAATCACCATAATGGTGCATAACAGAATCAAAACTATGTCACATTCAGTGAACTGAGATAACTGGATTTTTCAATTGACCTAATCCTTCCAGCCACATTGTGGTCCTGGGGTTGACTCAGTTTCTAACAGAAATGGGTACCAGGAATCTTCCTGGGTGTAATGTGCAGCTGGCATGTAAGGCTCACAACCTGAACACCATCTATAAGCCAACTGTCTAGAAAATGTGGGAGCCCTGATGTCTCACAAACTTATAGGCTTCCACAGCCTGTTACAGGGATAACTTTACCTTTTTTTTACTGTACAGCAGTTCCTATGACTGACCCAACCGATTCCACGACACAAGGCCTTTCTCTAAATGACAAAGGTGGCAATTAAATTCCATTCATTTCTGCAATCCAATGATTCGTTACTTAGCTTACAAATGCTCACCACTGGGTCCTACTCTGAGGCAGATGAAACCAATGAATACCCTCATATCCTATTTCTCCAAAATCCATTTTAATATTATTTTCCATCTACATCTAAATATCAAGCAAGCTGATATAGTGGCAAAATTCTAGATTTGCATTCAGAATATATCTGATTCAAATCACAGCTGGAATGCCAGGTAGTCCAACTGAGGTTCTACATTGTTTTCCTTAGTCCCTCGGGGCAAATGTCAGGCTAGCACTTTGGTTAGGCCACAACCATTTCCTTCCAAAATCCTTTCCAAATTAATTATTCATTATTATCCTACCAATCATCACCATACAATCTTGAGATACTGGCAGCACTGTAAAATTAACTAAGAAAAAAACTGGATCTCCCAAGTAGTTTCTTCCCTTTCAGGTTTCCAGCAGAATTTTATATATATTTCTCATCTGCCCATATGTACTACATCTCCTGCCCATTTCATTCCCCTTGATTAATCATCTGCCTAAAGGTCTTGTTCCTATGTAAATCAAAGACAGTATTTTGTCTCACCTCTATGAATAATGCAGCCAAAAGATGAACACCTGGGAATGCAAGCAATGACAGTCTGAAAACAACATGCTGGTTCTTCTTTGATATGGGCATCACTTCAAACAACTTGGCCAATGGTTCCACAGGATATACCAGAAGCACTGTGCTGAATCCAGTGAACAGCACCAAAGTGAAGAGGAAAAGCACTGGTTTTGGAAAAGGAAAGAGCATAAGTAAATCATTTAACAAAAATTGAAAGAACTTACTTCTAATGTGGTACATACTAAGGATCAGAGTACCATTAACTGAATTTAATATTATTACCACTATACAAAGGTAAAAAGAAAAACTGTTCCTTGAATCAAAAACCACAGAATGAAAGAAGAGAGGCAGAATGGAGGATGAAGTCCTCATTAAGGTTGTAGACAGAGGACAAGTGGTCAGCTTTACACATTCACTGCCTGTGCATTCAGAGAAAGAGACTACTGATATCCAACAGATATACAACTCATAATTTTACACAGCTGCTATATTGGAGTTGTTCATGACAGGGTGTTAGGAAGCACAAGAACTGTGTAGTCTTTAATTGGATGTTGTCCATGCAAAATTAGTAATGCCAATTATACTGCACCTGTATATTATAATTAAGCAAAGAGATGGATGGATGGATGGACAGACAGAACACTCAAATCAACAACAGGGTTCTACAAGAGGAACTCTGTTCACTTGGAATCCAAAAAAAATGTATGCAGTTTTAACACTTCAATTCTCCAAGAATTCCAGTTACTCAGAATAAAGCTATTCCAGAATTCTCCATACAATCACACATCTATTCTTTCCCTTCCTACATGCTAGAGTGATGCTGCAAAAAGAACACCCAACCTGAAAGATCGGTATAGCAATAACAGTCTTGATTTACGTTTGGGAGATGACTGGTTCAAATCTCAACCAGGATATTGGATATCCTCATTTAGGGCCTTCATAGTTTTCATTAGTTACACCAGGCAAATACCAGGACCGTACCTCAATAAGGTTATATCTGCTTCCTTCAAAACCCTTTCTAATTTATCATTCACATATCATTCTACGATTTGACACCATATAGTCTAATTACTGACAGCGTCATATAAGAGCCCACATGGAAAAAAAGAAAGAAAACAAAAGAAAGATAACAAAAAGAGAGAGAAAGAGAGAGAGAGAAAGAAAGAACACATACAATGTTAGAAGAACAGAGTAGTATTAATGACTGGACTTCCTTTATCGATTATTTCTGGAGCTCGGTGCACGCTATGAGGTACAGTACCATGCAATGCCACCTATGGAAGAACTGTAAGAACTTTTGAAATCATATAAATGTACATTTCCTTTCATTCCTAGAGCAGGATGAGAAAACATCCCTTGGTACTGAAGCTGTAGATGTTCAACTGTACCAGCCCTGGATGACATACTAGAGAAATGGAATGTTTGGTGGAATGAGAACTGGTAGGGGAAACCAAAGTACTATCTGAGAAAACTTACCCCAATGTCATTTTGTCCAGCCCACATCCCACACAAACTGAGCTGGGATTGAACCAGGACTGCTGTGGTGATAAATTTACTATGCTACCCACCATGCAAAACCATGAAAAGTGTAGAACACTCCAGTAACAAGGGACGGGCTAACAGTAAAATATGTACCAGGTAAAATGATAAATTGCAAGATTCTGATGAATATGTCTTCATGTCATGTAGCACAGAATGAGATACAGTATGATAAACATAAAACAGATATGAGAGGAGGTGATCCAACCAATTTTGAAGCAGAAATATTATCCCAGCATTATCCAGGGAGGCTGACAAAAAATATGAAAACCTCAGTCATGATTTAAACAAGGTTCTCTCCAAATACAATTCACACACACACAACTGCATTTCAACCAGCTCAGTGACATGCTTTATATACATATCCTTGTATAATTAGGTATGATAATACTGGTAATGACAGTTTACTATCTTATTTTTTTCTTCCTTCAGCACCAACAAAAATTATGCCAAGGACCCTTTTAAAAAGTTTTGAAACATGCCCAATCAACAAAGCTGAAGATGATCCAACTCCAGAAATGTCATTAGTAACAAATGTACTTTCTACAGTACACAATGTCTAATACAATAAAGCCCTAAAAAATCAACCACTATCAGAAATATTCAGAGAATATTCTTATAATTTATGAATAAATTCCTAAAATGTCATTTTATATAACACATGAATCCCAGATGATAGGCTATATCCAACATTAAGTCTCCTGTAATATCTACCACTGTCACAAATATTCAAATAATCACTCACAGTTTGTGTAAAAAGGTTTGCGATGCGGCTTTCCTTTCGAGTAGACAGCAGCCAGAATCAGGTACTGGAATGAACTTACAGAGAAAAGTGTTGTGTTCTCCCAGCATGCCACTATCTCTCCTTTTGCATCTTCTTGCTTGATGGGCTCAAACCTGAAGAAATATGAGGCCTAATTAAAATTCAGTCCATTCAGAAGTATTTGGTTAGTCACACTGAGCATTCTTGTTATCAATTACAGAACCAAATTTACAAACTGATCCCATTATATACACATGGGCTGTTCAGCTCCACATGTACTGCAAGCCAGTGTGCATGTTTATAATAGCAAAAATCATTACTTATCATTTTAATATGCACTGAATTATGCCCAATTTTTTCTACATTAACCAACTTATAAAATACTATGTGATGCCACTATTTACCATCCTTTTCACAGCTCACATTCATTACAATATACACTCAACTCTCGATTATCCGGGATAATGGTGGGGATGGAAATCACGATTAATCGAAAACCCGGTTAACACAAATTTTATTAACAGTAGTACTGTCATACTGTACCTTCATAATACTATAGGCCTACCTGTATTTAAATTTATTCAACCTCATTTTTATGTCATCTCATGGCCTATTTAATACTTTTTTACATTACACTGAAGTATGAATTAGTTATTTCAATCACAGTGTTCAACAACATCCAACACTTTTTACGAATATTCACACTTAACACTTAAAAAAAAAATTAATATTGTCGTTTGCTTTTTCGCAGCATTTTCGGTTTTACGGATATCCGTATGAAGCCTACGTAATATTAGCTTGTCAGTTAATAAACTGTTCTCTTCACTCTCAAGATAGTCTAGTAAGGATTCCAAATGATTAAGAGCAGCACCATGTGATATTTTCTTACTAGCAGCACTGTCCACCTCTTCCTCATTCTCACTTTCTTCCCACTCTTCTGGCTGCACCCCCACTGAACTTACGATTTCGTCACTGCTTAACATTTCAAAGCCCAGCTCACACAAGTCACAGTCAAACCACTCTCTTATATTTTCCTCATTGACTTCTTCACCACCATGAACTTGGTTAGCCAATTTTGTCAATTCTATGGCTATCTCATTTTCACTGAATCCAGTGAATCAATGGATTTTGCTAATGCACTTGAAGATCGATACAAAGAGACTAACTGGGGCAGTGTATCTGTCCTTGAAACTTTCCACAAATCCTTGCATTCTTTCACACCTACCCTAGAACTCTGTGTTAGCATAACGGGACCAAAAAATGCAGAGCTCGGTTCACACTAGTGTGAAAATAGTGTTACAGCTCACCATGTGAAACAAAAGTGAATGAATATTAAGCAACATATAAGCCTCAAAAAAGCCCTGGTAGCCCCGGTTAAGCCGCAAACTAGTTTATCTGCCCCTAGATAATCGAGAGTTGAGTATAGTATTCTTTGGTATCTGATATGTAATGTTTAAAAATCCATACCCTACAAGCTTAGAACTTTCATTTTTAATATAGATTGTGTTAACACAACAGAATTCACTCCTTGAAGAGTGAATTTTTACATCTTACATTTACATTTTAGTAAATAAAATAGCCCCAAAAGTCCCACAGAGCCATAAATAAAACATATAATTAAATACTTTGAAATATACATGGAACTCTGCCTACTTAAAACTTATGAAGAAAATACAAGGAGGACATATATAAAGTCTAGGATATGTATCACATGTACACATTTCCATAAGCACTAAAATATATTGTAGCATGTAGACCCATTGCTAGGAAACAACCATGGAATAAGCAAATATACAACAGCCACTGCTAAGTAATGGCTCTGCAAACAAGCCTGTTTCTACAGAAACACTTAGATACAACAATAATGGGAACCCAAACAGACACAAATGCAACAATGGCACAGCAACAGAGGAACAATGTTTTCTGTGTCGTCCATGCTGAGATGTTATAAGCAGGACAAGTTAGTGGAGTAGAACTGGTCAGTTGAGTAAACTGAAGAGTAGTTGGTTGGTCAGTTAGTTGAGGGTCACCACAGCTGATGCCAGGGAGAGTTCAGGAACCCAGAGGAAGAGGAGCACCCACCATTGTAAGCCACTGGTAGAAGAATAGTGAAGACACAGCCGGCTGAGAAGACTTAAGTGCGTGCTGTAGTGAATTGCAGAGTGAGTGAATTAGCAATAGCGCTATAGTTACTTGTCATAACAAGGTGTGTCTTAAAGTGTTCAATACATCTGATTAACAATCCAAACCCCATCTATAGTCACACTTGACATGACAATATGCATGTCATGAAATGAAACAGACCATATGGAAACACACAGATTAAATTAATCATAAATGTAAATGAATGAGACCCCGTTACTACTTGTAAATTGAAACTTTCGTGGAATGTAAGTTACACTCAAAGATTTAATTACTGTATGGTTATGCTTACTTTAATATCAAAGGCAAGGCTTCCCTCTAGGTTGACCAATTCTTGGGTTTTTGAAAACAGCTTTCAAATATATGAATTTAGATCACAGAATGCTAAGTTGACTGTGAATGATGAATTGGAACAGATGTCAAAGAAAAATCAAAGGCCGTTTTATGGTACAATCCCAGAATTTCACTGAAGACTGAGGAAAACCCCACTCTATAAAAAAGAACGTTTTATTCGAGTCAAAATACAAGCAGAAATACATAAACATATCTAGTTCCTTACCAGGGCTGCTTCATTAGGAGATACAAAGCTGCTATTTGAACCACTACTGTCACCAAAACTTGCATGATTAGTGGTATAATGTTGTTAGCAGACATTAAACTCCCCATTGGTCGTTCAGAAACCAGTCTTGATGCAGGACCAGTTCGCCCCATCACCACAGCTATGCTTGTTGTGATCACCAGGTCTATGTACAGGAACTGAGTGTTTCCAAGAATGCTTGCACACTTGAAAGGAAAACGGACATTGCTTTAATAGATACCAAACAATATCGGATGAAATTGATATAAGAACAACATACATCACTTTGACTTTGACATGTGATGACATTAATGATAATCTACTTCCTGGTCCTTCCCTCTAAACTACACATCCAGCTCATCATAATCTTGATTTTATTGCTCTAAAAGCACAAGATTAGCCCCATAAATCATTAAGTTTTGAACTGGGAATTATTAAAAAAAAATGTGACAAGTCAGTATGGTGATTGGCTATAAGTTGGAAAGCTTAGGTTTGATTCCCAGCAGGTGATAGAGAGCTTCCTCTATACCACAGCATCCAGACTGGCTCTGAGGCCCACCCAGCCTCCTATCCAATGGGCACTGGGGGCTCTTTCAGTGGGGGTAAAGTGACTGGGGAGCAAAGCTGACAGCTCACCTCCATCTAGTGACAAGGTCATGAATGGTGGAACTATACCTCCACTCTCCCATACATCTTCATAACATAGTATATAATGAAGCACATGGATTTTACCATAGATTATCCAGTAGAACTGTGTGAAATGGGTTATCAGGATGCATGTGCTCACTTACTCTGTAGAGAATGAGTACTGTAACAAACTGTATCAGACTGTATAGAGCCATGTACTTGAAGACTCCAAAGCTTGTCACCAGAGCACATCTTCCTTCCTGTATGAGCTTCAGAACACAAGTTATGTTGGCAACTCTGGAAGTGAATGGAGCTGCAACTGAAGCCTCAGCTTCGGACAGTGAGATTCCAATGTGAGCAGCCTTCAGAGCCTGCAAACAGAAGCACAGGTTTTATTACCTTATTTCAAAAAGTGAATCCACCGTTCAATAAGCATAAATCTATGTTTAAAAATAAAAGTGTGGGTCTGTTTGTCTGTACATTTCCACAATGTTACACCTATTTCAACCAACTCTGGCAAGATGGCAGAGAACCTCCTTGCAGAGGTCTTAGACTCTTCAAACCTTCAATTTTTTTAGTTTAGGTGTCTGAAATAAAAATTTTGGAACGCCCCAAAAAAACATTTTCTTGCTCACTGCTCAAGAACAATTCATCCTAGAATACTGAGATTTGTTTGTACTCAACACAGCTTAAAGTAACAAATAAATACCTTGCTTATATACCTCTCCATTATATTTTTAAGATACTTAATCTCTAGTTTTCTGAACATAAATAGTATTTTTTCCCCATTTAAACCAAAATTACTAAGATCAGCAATATAACTTTTCAATGTATTACAATCAATAATCACATGTCTCGATTACACCTGGGCAGGTCAGGTAGTAAACACTAAAAAATGAACTGCAATACTGACTTTTCAGTGACATTGCTAGTCACTTGTAGTTATGATCTGTAAGGGTTCAATAAATCCAATTACCAACCCAATGAATATGGAGTAGGTCTGCAAGTGCAGCTTGGTCATGCAGCAGAGGAGGATACAATAATATCCTTATGTTAAGTATTCATATTGTAAAGTTTATCATTTTGCTGTAAGTCTTTTTTAATGAGTATATAAATCTGGCTCAACAAAGTTGATGAATTTCAGCCAAAAAAATTATACTTTTAAGAAACAAGGCATTCATTCCTCAATTATACGACTTTTGTTTTACTGAGGTTCCTAAATAAACAGAGGTAACACATATTTTCTTCCAGTCTGGTGCAATTAGAATTTAGAAGTATCATTTCAAATTCTGTTTGAGTACCAACTAGGTTTCAAAAGCCCTGTGCTTAGAAAGTTAAAAGAATTGTGATATAAATACTACACTGTTGTCCTTTCATGGCAGAAATAAAATTCCAGGCTATTCCCTAGTTTACCTTAGTCTCTTCAGGAAAATGCCTGAAGAGTGTTTACAGACAATGATTATTTCCTTCTCTATTCATCATCTGACACTACGTAACCTGTGCAGGTGGTAAAACATTGTTATATAAACTAATAAACAAGAATGAAAGTTGAAGGAGAGACTGGGGGGGGGGGGTGACAAGAAGGAAGAAATAGTTTTGCTGTTAAAATTTTATGTCAGTGGTCTTAATCTTCTTAGCATTTACTCGGCTCACTTATCTCATAACTTATATAACTGAACACATGGCTTTAAAGCGAAAGGGCTGTAACAGTGTACTCACCCCACAATCATTAGCTCCATCTCCACACATAGCAACTACATAATCTAGACTTTGCAGCACCTCAACTAACTGTGTCTTTTGGTCTGGAGCCATACGAGCAAAAATAGTGCCTCTGGTGGCGATCTGAGGTAACAGTTCAGGGTGATAATTCTTTAAGGCTGTCCATGACTTTCCATCAACAGCTATATGCCAATTGGTATTTGGCATTATTGGCAACATTGGATCCTGGAAATATGACACAAGATAACACTGAAAGGAAACGGGATACTGATATAGCAAAATTATTGGTAGAATGATGTAAGGTTTAAAGCATATCTGAATGTCTGCATAATCTGAAAATTTGTTCAAGTGACACAGAATGAAAATAAGAATGCCATCTTCTGGGACGTTTTGGAGGATCATTCCTCTGAAACGTCAGCTCACACAAGATCTACGTGGTGCCACATCCCAGAAGATGGCATACTTCACGGTCACCACCATGATAACCTCAAATCTTATGGGATGAAAATAGGTTCAAGAAATTTTCATGCTACTAATTAACCATCGTATGGTCTCATCTATATACATCCTTTGTGAGGACTGCATAAAATGTGTGCCTAACAGGGAAGTTACACTTCTTCTTCAAAATCCAATTCAGTGCATTATCACAGCAAAAACTGCTACAGGACAACTTTTATTTGGAACACTTTCTGATGTGGTCTACACTTCATGAAATGCATAGAAAATAATTCTGAAAACAGGCAACCTTTGTGATACTTTCGTACAATGTAAAATAACTTGGCGGGTATGTGAATTTCATATTTAGCTTCAGGCATGATGGTGTTAATATACGAACTACTGAAACAAGCTGTGTAAAATTCTGTATGAAGAATTTTTTTGTGATAAACATTACATACACAACGAAAGGGAAAATATTACACGTATCTTATACACTAACTGCATTTAGAATCTGTGACAGTGAAAATTATGCAAATAAATTAATCATTTAATCGTACGATTATTAATCTCAAGACACCATTTTAAGGTTGAGTTTGTAATTTCAAAGAGACTGTTCTATGGGTAGGATGCCGCATGCCTCTGGATCATACTTCCTCCTTCCTATTTACATTACTGATATGGTGCTTATGCAAAAAGGTGGCTCTAGTAATGTGATATTATATATTTATGAAACTTGAACTCACAGAATCAGAACTAAAACTTCCATGAGATAAACCTTGAGGAACACCGACTACTTCCCAGTGAATATCTGTTAGGTGTGAATCAACTTTAACTGTTACTTGGATGACTTGTTCATAAGGCAGGATCATGCCACAATCACGGGCAACACTCACTGCAGTAAGGATGTTGTCTCCTGCAACAAAAGACAGTCTGTACAGAAATGACACATAAAACATCATCTATATGCCTGTTGATGTAACAAACTAATTATACTGAGGTAGAATTCAATGGCGAGACATGATTCACACCAAGAATCAACCACCACTATACACTACTCCAAGCCAGTTCACTCTACCTCCCACCTTCAAAACCTATTTCCCTAAGGTCCACTAACAGTGCCCTCAGATGTCAGAAGTCATCACTGAGACCTTGTATGTCTTGCAGTAAAAATTAATGTTTTACTGATGGGAAATGACATGCCTGCATGAAAACAGAGTTACATATGGATGTGTTTTTTATATGCCTATGTTTCAATAATCCTTCCAACCTTTGGGTCACAGGTACACCCAGGAATTGCAATGAACCGTTTGGTTCAATTTCCAAACTTGTTTGTATGTATGTTGATTAGATGTTGTACAAACTCTTGTCAAATCCTCCATTCCATGCAACCAAATGACAAAAAAGAAATCATCCAGATACCTGTACCAGCAAGTTGGTTTCTTGGAGACCATGCTCAGTGCTCATTCACAATATTCCACAAGATAACCAGTTACTACTAGTGAAAGTGGTGACACCATACCTATGCCCTCCTATTGGTTGCAGAACTTTCCACTGAAGAGAAAGTATGTGAACATATAGCTAATATCTTGTATTTAAGTTGTTGTTCTAATAACTGTAAGGTCTCATCACGTGACACTCTGGTGAAGAAGGACACTATACTGAAATTGACCAAAATGTCTACATCCATAGCGGTGCTAATTCTGAGCTCTGTATGAAATCAGCCAAGATTCTAATGTGATATTCAGCGACCATCAGTACCAGCAGCCCTGCCAGGTACTTTGCCAAACCAGTTGCATACCAATTGTGACTACAATGGATCAAAGTGGCACAATTTATTTGCGTACCTATGGTCATCCATTAAGCCTTGGCAGCATCATACTACTCAAAATCAGAATTTTGGCCACTTCTTCTGCAATTCCTCACTTCTTAATCAGCCTAGTCATCTTAATTTTGCCCATGTCTACCATTTTTCTTAATCACATGAGGATGAAAGAGTAAGAGTGAGCACAAAGAACTATCAAGAGTTCAGAACTCATATCATTAAAAAAAAAAACTTTAATCAAGGCAGTAGTATGCATTACGTGTCATAAAACAACAATACGTAAGAAACATTGGGCTCACCATGTGATACAACAAAGTGAAAGCCAGGCTACAGAACAGGAAGAAACTTCCAAGTTTCTAGCAAATAAAATAAATAAATAGTATTCTTTTGCACCAATCTGTAACTAACTAACTCCACCAAGCTGAGCCTTTCTTGAGAAGCTGCCAGTGTTTGAGTTACTCAAGAATTTCTCAACATTTTATGGAACTCAAGATGTTCAATACTGTGTTCATAACAGCCCTTCACCAACACACCAATCTGTATGATGATAATATAAAGAGTAAGGTAACGGTAAAGTTGTCCCTGTACTTAACCAATTAAGCACTAAGCCATGAAGACATATAGGGGAGTGGATGTTTTCTTGACCTTGGCACTAGTTGGAGGTGAGTGGTCAGCTTCGTGGCCTGGCCACTTTACCCCCAGGGAAAGAGCCCCCGGTACCCATTGGATAGGAGGTTGGGTCAACCCCAGAGCCGGTCTGGAAGACATGGAGAAGTGAAAATTCTTGAACCCACCAGGACTCAAACTCTGACCCTTCAGTCGTCCTGCCTGCAGCCAGTCACTATACCGACTGCGCTATCCCGGCTCCTGATAAAATATCAGTAACATTTTAAAATTCCATTACTGGTATACTAGGTGGTTCAAATATGACCAGGACTGAAATTTTTGTAAACAAGCCGCACTGCTCAGCAGCTGTGCGACCTTGAGAGAGTGAAGCCACAACCTCCACCCTCCCTTCTGTTAGGGTTAGAACCTGTTCAGTCCTGTCTGGAAGTTGCTAGAGTGATGAGTGAACAGAAGGTACCGCGGAGCATGGAACAATGCATTGTGATCAAATTCCTCGTTGAGGAAAACGTCCCGCCCGATGAAATTCACCACAGACTCCAACAACAGTATGGGGAAGAGTGTCCCTCATGGACCCGTGTGTTTGAGTGGTGTAAGTGCTTCAGAGAGGGCAGAGAGTGCGTGGAGAATGAGCCGCATGATCGTCGGCCGCGAACATCCATCACCAAGCCAAACATTGATCGTGCAGACGCACTTATTCGTGAGAATAGGCGCAACACTATCAAGGAACTTGGAGCAATGCTGTCCATCAGTGTTGGTAGTGTAGAAGACATCATGAAATACCACCTGCACTATCGCAAGGTGAATGCACAGTGGGTACCACGCACTTTGACGGACGTGAACAAAATGGTGCGCATGCAAGTTGCCAGTCGTCTCCTACAGCAGTTTGAAGATGAAGGTGATGCATTTTTGAAGCCTATAGTGACCACCGATGAAACGTGGGTGCACTATTTCATTCCTGAGTCCCAGCAATCATCACGCAAGTGGCGGCATACGAGTTCTCCCAAACCCAAGAGAGCGCGGAGGAGCCGCTCGCATGGAAAAGTGATGGCAACGTTCTTCTGGGACTGGCAGGGGGTTATCCATGTAGACTTTCTGACAGATGCCAGAACAGTCAATGCAGCTTATTACTCAGACCTCCTGGTAACAGACGTGAAGGAAAAGATCCGATCCAAGCGGAAGAGAGGTGGAAAGCGGGTAGCCTTCCTTCAAGACAATGCATGCCCCATACAGCCAAAACAAGAATGGAAACTCTCCGGAAATTGAAATGGAACCTTCTGACACATCCGCCGTACAGTCCCGATTTGGCACCAAGTGATTTCTACCTGTTTGGAAGGCTTAAATCAGACTTGCAAGGCATGCAGTTTGTGGACGACGACGCCGTCATCCAGAATGTTCGGGAATGGATACACCACCAACCACAAAACTTTTTTGAAAAGGGCACCAGGATGCTTCCAGAACGTTGGAAAAAATGTGTTGACTGCAGAGGGGAGTACGTTGAAGACTGACATGTGCAAGTAAGTGTTTGACAATTTTGGTTTAAAAAAAGAAATCAGTCCCGGTCATATTTGAACCACCTTGTACTTAATTCATGTTTACATGGTCACTTCACATAGTATGAGGAGAAAACTATAACTTACCCCATCCTTGTATTAATGTAAAAATAACCTGCAGAACTGGGAAATCACACAAAGACTCGCCACACAATATGCTCAATGAGCCACATGCCACAGTCCCCTTACTCGTAATTCCAAGTACTTAACTGAAATACTTTATTCTGAAAACCTAAGAGTTTATATAAAATAGTTTTAAAATTAATTTTGTTATGTATCTTGCTTTTGAAACTACATGGAATGAGAAATGTTTCTGAACTGAAAGACAAACAAGAGGAACATTTTTAATTTCATCATAAAACCATGCCTTTTTGTTACAGCTGTTCTCGGGTACTTACATTTTTAAACCTTTATTATTTACTACATGCAATAATTATATTACACATTTGCTGCTGATTTCAGTTTCACGATATGCTTGTATATTTCATTCTATCTATATTTACTACTGTACCAGGCCGCACCATAGCTCAAGCGGTTAGTCGCTGGCTTTCCACCATGGCGGCCTGCGTTCGATCCCAAGTCTGGTCAAGTGGGATTTGTGGTGGCCAAAGTGGCGCTGGGGCAGGTTTTCTCTGAGTATTTCAGTTTCCCCTGCCAATCTTCATTTCACCAATTGCTCCACAATCACCCTCACCTATCATCTGGGGCTGGTACAACAGGCCAGAAGTGGCCACGGTACAAGGGACTTAGTCCCAACCCACTAGCAATAAAAAAAAATACTACTGTACCAATGTCCAGCTGTAAAACGATTTCTTTGCTATTCTTTAGCCTATCTGAATTCATAAACAAAGACTCTAACCTGTTACCATAACACAACGGATCTGGGCCACCTGTAACTGTGTGATAACAGGTGTGGTTTCTGGCTTCAAAGTGTTCTGCATTATCAGAAGGCCAAGGAACTCCAAGTCTTTCTCCAACTGAAACATTGTCAATAACAGCTGTTACATGTTGTGTGCAAGCATGTCAGTACGTGCGTATCATTTTACACTTTTCATGCCCACTCTGGTTACCAGTTTTATGAAAACAATGATCGACAGGATGACCATGGACTCATATTTCCTTCTTTGGTTGACAAGACCATTAGAGTGGCAATCTGCTGACACTGTCAGGCACTGCAGCATTCTCCTCTGTAGTGAAGCAACAGACAGCAGACCCTGCCCTCATATTTATACTACACACCAAAGCAGCTCAGTAATATATGGTCTCGAGTACCAAGGTACTCGGACCTGAGAAAGACTGCGCTAGCAAGGGCCAGCAGCATATACAAACCACAGACCTGTCCTCTCATCAGAGAGGGCGCCCACAAAAAACAAGACCGTAACCGTCAAACAGTAATAAAGATCTGGTCGCAAGCCTCAGATGGGTTCTTTATACCAAGACAGACATGCCGACTGACCACTGGTCATAAAATGAGACTCAGAAACAGACTCAGCTTAGTGAATAAATGGCAAATGGTCTAATTCCAGGCAAGGGAAGGGATCCTTCCATCTACCACCTTGCCCAAACTGGCTCAAGGCCCCCTACAGCCTTATATATAATGGGTACCGGGAAGTCTTCCTCCAGGGGCAAATTCCCTTGAAATTTGAGACCAAAAAATTTTATGATAAATTATCAAGCCATTTCATTTTTCATTTAAATCAAACATGTTTAATTACAACTTTACATGAACACAAATATATGTTTCTGCATGTGTCTCACTAAATATTCATCAGACAGAAAAATTTTCCAAACAAAAGCACAGAGAAACATGAAACACAGTCTATGACTCATATATTTTCTCCACAGGTCTTTCAGGTGTCAAGATAACTGAACAGAAGCAATGTTATAAGTACATTTTGAAACTTTCATATTCAGCAATCAGCCACGGCCCCCAGAACACCATCATAGTTAAAAAAAGAAAACAATAGGTCTCTATTGCCTTTTAGACTGCATTAAGTTCAACATATCGTCGTCATTGTCGTTGTTGCTTCATGGATTAGGCAAATCACCTGTTCCAGACTCTATATTGTGGTGTTTCCTTCCACCTTCTTTCTGGTCCTCCAATGTCTAGTCTACCAGAAAAATGATGTGTCTGGATTTAAAGTGGAATGTCTCTTCCATCCTTTACAAATGTACTTCTTGTTTGTCTCTATATTCTGTAACTTTTACATGTAAAGGGAAGACATCAAACTCATTCTGTAAATTCTGTGTTCAATTTCAATTTGTTTCTGTTATTTTAATGTCATGCTCTATGAAAATATGACTTTGAACCAAATATTATACAATTTATATACATTTAATTTTTATATGCAACCACCTGTGCATGAGGTGTGAAGAATTTAACTCAATGTATCCCTGAACAATTAAAATTTTCTAACCATGCTTGTTTTACTGATCTATTAATCATAAAGGGGTGGGAAACAATGCAACATGCTACCCTGTTCATCCATTCACTTGCCCTCTACCATTAAGCTACCTCATCTCGGTTGATTCTTTGTGCTTGTTTCCAGCTGAACTTGGGAGCCAGAGTCTTGTAGGCAAGGGCAATGACTCGATAACCAGTTAGTGTGTATTCCATTAGAAGAGAATCGAAGTTACCAGGTACTGGAAGAGTAAACATTTCTGTATTAATGACCTGTACAAGCATGTTCCCATAACAATGTAAACATATTTCAAAACAGAGAAGCAGGAGAAGCAACACGTACTCACATCATTGAGCAGGTCTGCACAAATTTGGGGTGCATTTTGCCATGGTGCCTACAGTGTTCATGATAACACTTAAAATTTTCTTCCTGCTATATTACACTGATACACGAGGGGGAAAGACATTCCTGTTCTCCTTTCCTTAATACCTTTAATACATATATCTCCTCCTCTCCTTTTTTGCTTACTAATTTTCCACCCTTTTCTTTACTCATCCAATATTCCTTCCTTTCCTTCATCCTCCCTTCATGTTAAATCAGTTCTCTTACCCCCATCCTCCATTCTTCTATCCTTTCATACTCTTACTTCATTCTCTCCCCTTTTATTTGTCCATCAAACTATCATCATTCCTTTCCCCATATTCTAGCAAAGGCAGGAGATACTTTACATTTTCCCCATACCCTAGTGACATCACACTGAATCTTCCCCATCTTGGCTAAAAATTAGCAACACTTATATGTACATGGTTCAGTTGCCCTCCTGTTACCAAAAATGAGCAGATTTCTCACTCAAGGTATTTTCTATTTATTCTGGCTCCTAGTTTCTTAGAAGTGGCTCCCTGATTTATGGGAAAATTATGCAGGCCTACTTTAGCATGCAGAAAACTTTTAAGAGCATTCTTTTAGTTTATGCCTCCAAAGACAGAAGATTTTGATGTGTAATCATTCCAGATACAAAGCAGATGGTGGACAGGAAATTCACTTTCATGAATTTACTTTAGACATTTCTTGATTTTGATCTGAACAGTGAACATGGCAATGCAAACAGAAACAAGATCATGCTGTAAGGAGTGTGTGGCAGCAGCTGCCTGGAGAGAACAATAGCTGATCCAAAATGTCACTAATGTTACATGAGCTGTCCTTCATGAAGGTTTTATCAGTGATTCATCTCTTGCCAAGGGGCTTTCTTGAGCAGAAATTCACTGAGAAGTGAACTGTGTATTGTGCATTCCTCCTCCTCCTCCTCTACAGCCCATCTGAGCTATTCCAAACACCATTCAGTCAGTAGATATCCATCCTTAGTTTCAACATATAACAATTATTCCATTAAGCAACTGTTCATTCAAAATTCTTTTTATCCTTCAAGATCAGAGCAGAAGACAATTTTATAACATGTGCTAACAATGCCATTATTTTAATGCAATTGTTTTCTCTCCTCAGTTTTTATGAAAATAAACCCTCTTATTCAGTGCTGTAGACTGCCTCTGTCGGCTAGTGGTCAGAGTTCCTGGCTACAGATCCAGAGGTCCAGGTTCGATTTCTGGCACTACCAGATTTTCTGAAAAATGATGGGTCTGGAATGGGGTCCACTTAGCCACATGAGTATAACTGGGGAGCTATTTGAAGGAAATGGGGGCTCTGGTCTAGAAAACCGAAATTAATGGCTGTGGGGATTCGTTGCTGACCATGCGGCACCCTTTATCTGCTAAAGTTGGCACTAACTTCACCGACAAGCGGTGGTCACTCAGTCAGTATAGTTCACTTGCAAACTAAAATCACAGAGTTTAGATTATTCAGTGCTGTAACCGTATAGCACACAAAAATAACATTGTGTCTCATTTGCGTTATCCATTTGTCTATGCAGGCAATCAAACACTTTGTACAATTAAATCACACAAGAAGATGGTAAGTGTTAGCAAAGAGAAGTTCTTCACCATAAGCAAGAGCCATTCTAATGAATCGCCTGTACACACCAACCACTACCAGCCTCGATTTTCTTACGTTAAAAATTCTGTGATCATACAATTTACCGGACTTTCACTTCAATGATTTTCTGCTGTAGTGTTTCATCTTTTTTTCAATACACACAAACTCTACAATGTGTTCTGACACACAATAAAAACATGCTCTTTTTGGTCTAATGGCTGCATTCCACATCAAGCTAATAAACAAAAGCTTCTGTTTTGACTGTTTCCATCTTCAGGCAGTTGCCCTGGCCACGTTCTCTCTTCTGGCTGCACACAGAAATATTATCACAAGTTTAATATGTGCACTGCCATTTCTGCTTGCGCCTTCTGGTACATTCCATTTTGCAGCTACAGCTTTCACCATGATTTCTGTATTATAAGAGCAGGCTACTTCAGGTGCAGTAATTATTCTTTCATAAACAAGCTGCCTCCCACATCACACAATCATACTGTCACGTGTTCGGTATGTCACGCGACAAATAAATTCACACGGGTCTCGGATTCAGCAAATCTTTATTGGACATTCATTCTTACACACCATATGAGTATTATCACTTGCGGTATCACGTGGCTTCTGCGATGTCTCGACTAGGTTCCAGCTGTCTTGTATGAAGGCTAGATCTCAACTGTCATCCTGTAGCTCTGTCGCTCTCTACTTATGTAAGTGATCCGTGGACCGGATACGAGACACCATATGCCAAGGTTCGATCTCACGTGTTCGGCAATCTGTTGCTTTGGGAACACTCTTTACACTGGTAACGAGTTTCGTCTCGCCCGTTGTTACTCAACGGCCTTCATCGCTACGATTTGTTGCTACAACTTCCATTGTAGCCGTTGCGCGGCGATGGACGTAAGATAGCTTGTCACAATATTGTGACATGTATACATTGATAGGCAATGACTCAGTAAACATGCTTCAACAACAGAGAGACTGTTTTCTATGTGGTCCAAGCCATGACTAATACAGCATGGCCAGTACAAAGTGGTTAAAAAGAAGAATTCAACTGAATAGAAAAGAGTGAAGAGTCAAGTTTCAAGATGCCAGGCTGCTGGGATATAAGCTTGGAAGCAGAGGAATTGAACTGAGTCGAGTCTTTGGATTTGGCAGCGGCAGAATAATGGCAAGAATGCAATTTGGCTGTGGAAAACCAGACTTCATGTGGGATTATAAGTTACAGTGAGATGGTTATAAATCCACTGCCAGGATATGACTAATGAAGACTGAGAACCCTAGTGTGTGTGTGTGCAACAGTGAACTGTAATGTGTGTACATCAGCAATAGTGCTGTATTGCCTGTAGTCATGAGTATTGTGTATACGGTGCAATAAATTCAATCAACCAATCCAAAACCCATCTTATAAGTCACTCCTACACATGACAATATTTACCACTGCATAGGATCAGCATAACTTGCATAAAAACTTAGGACAGGCCCAATTCAGTTCAACTACATGGAAAATATCTTGTGTTGGCTTTGTGAAATTTATGTACAATCTTACAGTTGAGCTAAATTAAGAGACTGATCAGTATTTTGTGATTGTGAAATTACAGACAAATTTTCAGTAATAAAACAGATACCTAAATATGAAGAATGTAATACAAAATGATTAATATATAGATGAAAAAAACTTTTGCTGTACAGTACATAAGATGACAATAGATAAATTATACCAAACTAATAAATCAATCTACATACACAGAAGTGAGGTCAGATCAGATTATCAAGTTGTCTTCTTCCAATCCTCCAAAGAATATATACAAGAAGATAAGTACAGTATTATAAATTAAATGCAGATCAACATACCTGTTTCTTTTCTACATAGAGTCTGGATCTTTTCTGGAGCTCCTTTGGTATAGAGGGTCATATGGGATGACCCCAGTGCACGCGCAATAACAGACATACACTGTGCAGCTGAGCTAAATGGAAACTGACGAACTATACCAATTTCATATGGCAGCTGCAACAAAACAAAGTTATCAGTGTACCATCTATCACAGTGTTAATTACAAATTACTTACAAACACACACTTGAAGAAAATGAAACAAATCCTTAAACATACCTGAGCATCTTGTGAGCCAAATATATTCTGAATTTGTTCCAACTTTGCTGCCTGAAAGAAACAATACCACAATGGTTTAAAAACTTTCTTAATGCATCTGCAAATCTAATCTCTTTGAAAACAAGTTTCCAGTACTGATGCAAAAAGCATTCCAGATCAACAAACTTAGCAGGCTTGGATCAACACAATGGAAACAATACAAAAATTCTTGATACTTTCCATGTTGTTAATAACAATTTTGAAATATGGAGTGGCAATTAATCCAGTCAACTGAGGTGATGACAGTTACATAAAACAAGAATGCTCTGTGTCCACCATCCATCAGTAAATTCCAGAATCTCTTGCTGTCATCCAATGTTGGCACTTTTCTACATAGTATCTCCCTGAAAACACTTTGCTTTGGCTTAACAGACATACACTGCATTTTTTTTTTGTCTTAAGAAATAACCGCATGCTAAGTAATTACTTGGAACAGTGAAGCACTCAAAATTACATCTTACAATCAGACTTAGGGTTAATATTTACAAAGCGAAAATAACAGTTGCCTCTTGTAATAATTAGCTAGTTATATGTAACTTGATAAAACACAAGCAGAGCCTGGTATTGCATTAATGGTAAGTAATCAAAACTCTCCTATATACTAATGAGTTACAAACAATACCGTATAACTATAATTTACATGTAGTTACTATAGGATTCTGACGATGGTGTATAACACACTGATATGTTGGGATTTTGGACTTTATCCATNCCCAACTGAATAGGTGTTTTCCTTCACCTGAGGACGGAAACAGATCCAGTTTCCGAAACGTCGTGTTTTTATTTGTTATCTTAAAAACCAGGACGATGGATAAAGTCCAAAATCCCAACATATCAGTATAATTTACATCTCTGGGTACTCAAATATCAAACTGGCCTGAATGAGATTTAAATATTTCAATGTGGCCTGCACTTACATTAAGCACTCTTGGCTTAGGTTTCACCACTGTTGGACATAGAGTATCATACCGACTCGTGTCTCGTCCAGGTTCCTCCAGTTCCTGCATACAAATAACATTCACAATTTTGCCTGCATTGTATTTCTTGACCAACTTCATCCTAATTACTTTCTTTGTTTATTTCCTACTATACTTAATAATGTTTCCTCACATGTAATCCCTTAATACTTCGCAGCCATCAGATAAATTATAATGACTATCTCCAAACAAACTGTTATTATATAAACCATGGTCAATAACATGACATTCAGAGATAAATGCATTTCAGTCCCTGTACAATCATCCTTAGTGTCTCTCTGACTAATGTACGAAGGTAAGTCAATAAGTAAGTTACAAATGGATATAGAATTTAAACAAATAAGAGTGCTGACTTGAAAAATGCTTTTATTTCTCAACATAATCTCCATGTACATTGAGGCACTTGTCCCATCACTTCACAAGCCCCTGAAAACCAGCAGCATAACATTGTTTGGGCTGCTGTCGGAACCAGGCGGTGACTTCTCTTTGTACAGCTTCATCGTCGGGAAAATGTTCAGCTGAAAGATGATGTTTAAGAGGGCCGAACAAATGGAAGTCACTTGGAGCAAGGCTCCTGTGACAATTCAGGCTAGCATATCGTGTCCTTCATCATGGTAGCAATTGAGATGCTGTAATGCCAGACCCATTCTTTGCATTTTGTGTTGTGGGGGTCAGTATGCACAGCACCCATTGTGCACAGACTTTGTGAAAACCTAACCTGTCATGTGACTTCCATTTGTTCGGCCCTCTTAAACATCATCTTTCGGCTGAATATTTTCCTGACGATGAAGCTGTAGAAAGGGAAGTCACCGCCTGGTTCCTACAGCAGCCCAAAGAATTTTATGCTGCTGGTTTTCAGGGGCTTGTGAAATGATGGGAGAAGTGCTTCAATGTACAGGGAGATTATGTTGAGAAATAAAAACATTTTTCAAATCAGTACTCTTAGTTGTTTAAGTTCTATATCCATTTGTAACTTACTTATTGACTTACCTACATAATACCACCTGGCTCATATTCAGCTGCATGAATTAGTATTGTACCCTGATAACTATGATACATTATGTTAAAAACGTTGCTATAATGTCAACAAGCTTCATACCTAGATATTTACATTCTATGACACAAAACACATGGCACCAATACTAATCATTAACACTTGTAACTACTGGCTATTCTGACTGAGGATTTCATATTTTCCTCAACTTACCTAAGTTAAAGATAGGACAGTGCCCTGAAACAGGCCACAAGTACTTCCTACTTCATTACCTATGCCCCTACTCATGACCATATTTCCATCTCATTCAATAACGTATAACCTCTGCATATAATCAGCATCATTAAATAACGTAATGCTCAATAAATCAAAGCAAGAGATAATATTGAAGAAAGCAGTCTTCTGGGATTTAGCACCGTGTATATGTGGTGTTAACCGTCGTTTTGGAGGAACGTAAAGCTGTTACCGGTTCTCATGGTCTCTTCGCTTGCAGATTTCTTATATTTTTTCTTCTACCCTGAAGATGGAGGCGATACGTTCCTCCGAAACGTCGGTTAACACCACATATACACGGTGCCAAATCCCAGAAGACTGCTTTCTTCATAGTCACCGCCGTGAAAGCCTCAAATCTTACAAGAGATAATATTCTCTGTTACCCATTGCGTGGCTTCAAACATCTTGATGTCCAGTGGATCACCAGTCAGTTCCCCATCTATGAGAGTAAGTGAATGGCAGGTGGCCATGGCAGTTATGATGGGTGACTCTACAGGCAAAACTGCTGGATCTCGGATTGGATGAACACAGAATTTTGAATCCTCAGATGGTAACATACCCCAAAGATCCAAACCTTCTTCAGTTAAGGTTCCTGTCTACACAAACAACAGCATTTACTTCTTTAGGTATTATTTAACATTCTAGATATGAAACTACAAATCATAATAAGTTTCATATAAATCTCAACTAAAGACACAATTTTGAAAACACAGACACAACGCTAATAATAAAATTTGGTGAATTAATTTTACTTGATAAAACAGAGGGGCAGAAATTTCTTAGACCAAGATCCATGCAGCCAGAATATCACATGCTTGAATCATGTATGCAAATTACATACGTGAACATGTAACTTGGAAATATTCAAGAAACATTTCACATGTATACTATACTGCAACATACATATTGGGGACAGCTGTGCTAACATTACATGATGAGAGGAATAAGAACATTCAGATCAAGGACAGAATTAATATCTGTGTTCTTTGGTTAAAATCTTCACTGTTTAGCTTTCCAAATATTATAAGGTAACATTTCAGATAAAAACCTGCAAGAATTTATGCAATAAATATGGCATACAAACTACAGTCAACTCTCGATTATCCGGGGGCGGATTAACCGGTTTGCGGCTTAACCGTGGCTACTGAGGCTTTTTTGAGGCTTATATGTTGTTTAATATTCATTCACTTTTGTTTCACATGGTGAGTTGTAACACTATTTTCGCACTAGTGTGAACCGAGCTCTGCATTCTTTGGTCCCGTTATGCTAACACAATGTTCTAGGGTAGGGGTGAAAGAATGCAAGGATTTGTGGAAAGTTTCAAGGCCAGATACATCACCCCAGTTAGTTTCTTTGTATCGATCTTCAAGTGCGTTAGCAAAATGTCAGGGTGTAAAAGGAAACGTGTTGTGTTACGTATTCAACAGAAAAAGGAAAATGCCGCGAAAAAGTAAACGACAATATTAAATTTTTTTAAGTGTTAAGTGTGAATATTCGTAAAAAGTGTTGGATGTTGCTGAAGACTGTGATTGAAATAACTAATTCATACTTCAGTGTAATGTAAAAAAAAAGTATTAAATAGGCCATGAGATGACATAAAAATGAGGTTGAATAAATTTAAATACAGGTAGGCCTGTAGTATTATGAAGGTACAGTATTACAGTACTACTTTTAATAAAATTTGTGTTAACCGGGTTTTCGATTAATCGTGATTTCCATCCCCACCATTATCCCGGATAATCGAGAGTTGACTGTACTACATTTCCTAGTACATAAAACATGCTTTTCTTTAGAATGGCCCTCAGTAAAAGTAAGGTATATATTATAACTATACCTAACAAGCCACCTTATAAATATGCAAATAAATAAAAGTTATAATTTTGAAATAATGAATGGTTTATATGCTAAACAAAATGATTTTTCTTGGAAAAAATGTATTTATTTTCTCCTTCCTGAAGCAACAAGAACTGCTAAATGGTGAACAAACTGCTCAAGTAATGTTAAGGTCTGTTCATTAATTTACTTGCACAAATACTTAAAAGTACATAAAGTAAATTAATTCTAATCTGATCTCCTTATTATCTAATTACACAATGAGGTACAACAATAGTCTTTATACAGTAGAGACTATATGCATTTTGGAATACAATGAATCTTTCTAGAGAAATCTGGTAAAATGATATTTCAATATATTTATATAAACCTTATCAAAGCAGACAAGTTTGACTTTCCCACAGATATTGATCCTTGGAGGAGATATGCAGAGAATTCCCAATTTCTTGAGTCTGTTCTGAGAGTAGACAGTTCCAGCTGTCATCGCAGCAGGTAATGCTGGAGGCACGACAATTGTGATGATGTCCAACGTCCTTAACAGAACGGTTTCAATGGAAGCCTGGAATAAGACAAACACTATATGAGATCCCAGGTGAAAGCACACATGCACATACACATACGAAATGAACAAATTTGGTATATTATATTTAAGCATCCTGTTACATTCCACACTTCTATATGTATAATATAAACTCTGCCGTAAGTGTAACACTTTATTGTAGTTCTTGTCCCCCTTCTTTTACACTACATGTTTCGGCCGCAACCGGCCATCATCAGGTGTATTTCACTTCACGTAACTGTCACACTGCACTCAATATTAACATCTAAACTCCAGATTTACAATTGTTCATTGCTCTGTTGTCAATCGGCACCCGATATTCCAGAACTCTCCTTGTTGATTTTATCAATTATTTTTAAAATCTTTATTAATATTCACACGTTGATTGGTTTAAATTTTTTTTTAAATTCTCAATTTAGCTTTAATATTTAAAATTTAACTTCAGATTTAAAATCAAAATCACAGAGATACCTGCTCTATGCTTATATGTGCTGCAGGGGCTACCTCTTGCTTTCAGCACAACTCACGTGTTATCTGTAATACACAAATATTCATGTTACTGTCTTATGTTCTTACGTTATTCCTATATATTTTATACTGTTATGTGTACTTACTTTGTGCAGGTTCTCTGTGTGCATGCCACTGCTTTTCTTTAATACATTTGCTGTCTAGTGTGTTGTGTGCTGTGTTTTTATGTTGTTGAGTGTGGAAGGGGAATGGGTAGTGGGGCGTACCATTGGTTGGTATAGATCTCGTGTATTGTCTGAAATATGGGATTGTGTGTATCTATGTATGTGTCATTCATGTGCAGGCCCTTCTTACTTATTTTATATATATGGTATTTTTCTAGTGTATTCAAATGTCTACCTTTCTTCCCCATTGTTATAACTTCCATTACTTCTGTTATTGTTCTGTATGTATGGCCCATGTTTAGTATGTGATTTGAGTATCCAGAATTGCTATTATTATTTCTAATATCATGTATACACGTATGCTCCTTATATCTGGTGTTAAATGTTCGGCCAGTCTGGCCAATGTATTTTAATGAGCAATCTACACATTTAATTTGGTATATACCACTTTTATCATATTTATCTAATTGTGGTTTATGTTTAAGTATATTTTCAGTTGTGTTCCATGTGTGAAATGCTACTTTTATATGTGTGTCTTTGAAAAATTCCGTGATTCTTCATACTTCTTTTGTACTATATGTAAATATAGCCCACTTTGTTTTTTGGTGTTGTTCGTCATCGTGTGTGTTTGATTTTTGTTTTCATTTTCTCTGAGTTTGTCTGTTGATTATGTTTGTGTTGTATCCATTGTTATGTAGTATGTTTTAATAGTGTTCTTTTCTATCTGTTTCTCTTTTTCCATTATGGGGTATGTGTACAGTCTGTTTATTAGATAGCTAATACCTGACAATTTGTGCTCAAATGGATGGCACACACTGTTAGGTATTATGATGTCCGTCTGTGTGGGTTTCCTATATACTGCAAATTGCAAGCTATCTTTATTATGATGTATTGTTATATCTAGAAAATTAACAGATTCTTGTTGTTCTTTTTCGATGGTGAACTTTATAGTTGGTTGCAATTCATTAATTTCTTGAGAGTATGTTCTATGTCCATTATCTTTTCATCATATTGTAACGTGTTTCCGTTACTGAATACGCCGTAGAGATCGTTAACTGGTTTATTGAACAATCTACAACTATCGGCTACAACTAATTATAACAATGGTATGGGTTTCCACACTTTACAAACCCTAGAACAAAATTTCTTAACACTCTCGTCAAGGGTCTTCACGTACTAATAATGCGGGAGCTATACAAGTCTCCCTGAATTACGCACTTTCACTCGTAACACGCCGCTGGCTAGATTCCAAGATGCTGCCTTGTGAACTGTTGATAACACACTCGGCGACTGTCACCGTAAACTCGGCGACTGCCCACATTCCAACTCAGTACAACTGTGTCAGGCGGCTGCTACAGTAGAACTCCCTGAAATTCACACTCCGAGTACAACTGTACTACAGCACTCACTATGTCTTGAAAGCACACAATACGTCTTCCGCTCGCTGACTTCTTGGTTATCGCACACTCGCAGGCTGCTATGTTTCAACTCCTGGTAGCTGCTATGAGGTTCCCTTATATATCCGCAGTGGTGCCTGTTGCGTTCCACGTCACAGTAGGAAGTTGATTACGGGTACGTAGCGTTGCGCGTTACGTCACCGCGGAGGGGTGGGAGGGAGCGCTACGTCACCGCCAAGCGCCTGTGGCCTGAGTTGCCACGTTGCTGCTGGGTAGGGAGGGGTTCTCCGTTGCGCAACATGTTACAATATATTATTAATATGTCATCGACATATCTAAAGTAAGCCACTATTTGTTGTTTTATTAGAATGGGATACATTTGTGTGTGTTCCATATATTGTATATACACGTATGTTTCTGCTATCATTGCTGATGTTGGGGCTCCCATAGCTAGTCCAGCTGTTTGTTTATACTATTCTTGGTCGATTTGAAAGAAATTTTGTTCAAATACTGTTTCTAATATATGTATTATTTCCTTGTGGCTTTCTTTATTCATTTCTTCCCCCCCCCCCAATTTAGTGTTTATTATATCTATAGTATTTGTTTTCGTTATGTTTGTGTACATGTTCTCTATATCAAAGGAACATAGTCGCATATTCTCGTTAAGTTTAACAGTTTGTAAATCTGTCATTAAGTGGGTTGAATTTTGGACATATCGGGTGCCGATTGACGACAGAGGAATGAACAATTGTAAATCTGGAGTTTAAATGGTGATATTGAGTGCAGTATGAGAGCTACGTGAAGTGAAATACACCTGATGATGGCCGGTTGCCACCGAAACATGTAGTGTAAATGAAGGGGGACAAGAACTATAATACAGTGTTATATTTACGATGGAGTTTACATTATACACATACATATACCCTACGAGGGTCGTACTGAAAGTGATGAGCAACAATTTTTTGTAAAGTAACATGCTTTATTATTGACAAACCAAATACACCACCTCAATCTACAGACCTTTCTTTATTTTTCCACATAATTGCCACTTCTTTGTACACATTTCTCCCAGCATTCTGGGAGTTTGAAAATGCACTTTCTGTAAAATTCCGTTCCAGCCATCCGAAGACACTGACACACTGCTTTCTGAATTGCCTCCCTTGTCTCAAAATGTTGTCCACGCAGCTGACCCTTCACAAATCCAAAAAATGGTAGTCAGAGGGTGCCAGATCAGGGCTATAGGAGGGGTGTGGAAGAACTTCCCACTCCATCTTTGCAACTGCTTCCAATGCTTCCAGTTTCCAGGAATTCGGCAGGACCCAACGAGCACAAACTTTCCTATAGCCCAAGCTTTCAATCATCTCCTGTACTGCACTGTGCCCTATTCCAAGTTTTCGGGCTCTTGTGTCCACAGTCACACACCTGTCATCTTGAATGATGTCAGCAACTCTTTCCTTGTTGTGTTCAGTTGAGGCTGTTCGAGGACAACCGCTCCAAGGCTCATCTTCGATGCTGGTGTTCCCATCTTTAAAATGTTTCACCCATCTTTAAACACTGCTCGCACCCATGCACACACTTCCATAAGCACGCTGAAGTCTCTGGTGAATTTCTGCAGCAGGGATTTCCCTGCAGCATGCTGGCGAAACAATATATGGTCACGTGATGCAAGCTATTGACGTCACAAGACACTCAAGGTTAACGCAACAGCTGGTTCCACCTACCACCGTACTCTCTTTTGTCTGCTGTTCCCAGGTTGCATGCAAAAAAAAAAAGTTGCTCATGACTTTCAGTATGACCTACATAGAACAAATTTGGATTTGTGAGTAACTTCACTATGATTATTCAATAATGAATAGTGATTTGAGGATTAAGAATAGTGATCTGGGAAGGCTGTAGAATGGTCTATTTCCTGTTATCCTGCTAGCTTCCTCAAAGAAACTGTGATACCACAAAATTCTCAGCCAAGATGGCCATGATTCAAACTGGGAACCTCCTAAATATAAGAGAGAAATATTACAACTGAAACTGAAATATGCGGAACACTGTCCATTGTTCAAGTGCATTAACATACAAGACACCTCTGAAGCTGGCTCCATCCCTGTCTTTATACCAAGAATTGTCATTAAACTATGAGACATATTTTAATTGTTTTAGAGCTTCAGCGATAGTAGTAGAAATCAGGATCAAGCACAGTGGTTACCTAACATGGATTCTAGGGTATCCTGGATTCAAACCAAGTGTGACACCCTTACAAATTCACTTTAGAACAAGGTGTAGGAAAATAAATTACACAATAGTTTGTTTCTAACACTTGTGGGATATAAGCTGTAAAACTGCTTGAAGAAGTTTAAAAAATACTTTTTCCCCTTTACCCAAAACTACTATAGGTACACCACTTACATGTCGTCTGAGGTACAGATGAATGCAGTAAGCCATACCCAGTGCTGCAGTGAAAAACAGGAAAATGACAAATCGGACAGCATCTTGGTAGAATTTAAATTCAGACATTGGCTTTGGGAACAGAATGGACCGAACCATTTCCCCTTTTGCTGTTGAAAAACCTGTTCGCACAACCACAGCCATCACCTGTGTAAAGCAACAGGAACATATACTAAAAACAGAGTTCTCTGTGTGAAATTTCTTGTCTACAAAATCAAGAATGAACCTTTTAACTGCCATGTCCAGGATACCCCAGGATAGCACAACCAACACCTGGATATCCCACTCTGCAACTTTCATACTTATTTTTTTTATTGTTTTATCTCCAATATCTACACCACAAGTGACAGGCAGTAAATAATGTCATCTTCAGACAAATACACAGAACTACTAGCGTGACTATCCTACTGGTTGCTAGTGAAGAATAAGTCTTTGCTCTATATCATCTCCTACAAGGCACTGTACATTTCATTGTAGTCCTGACACCTTTGAAGCATATTCTTCAAGATAGTCAGTCCCAACCAAATTGATTTATATATTAGGTCAGAAACAGAAGCCTGAGATGCTGAAACTCCAGAGAACCCACAGAGTCATCTTCAGGATGTGGGAGACAATGTTAGCCATACCATGATGGTATATGACTGTCCGAACAAGTAGGGCACAACCACTAAAACATAACACCCCTTCCCTCATAAATACTTAAGAAACAAATGGATAAAATTTGTATTTTGATTTAAACGGTCATACTTCAAGAATTACTTTTGTTATGCTACACAGTCCCATTATGTTGCAACTCTTGACTTCATTTTGTGTTAACACAAACATTTTAAACAAAAGATGGTGTGTCACTGGAAGCTTGGGAACCCACTCACCCCCAGTCAATGCATACAGGTCAATGATAACTGGATAGACCAATACATAGCATAGAGATATATAAAGACCTAAAAACACATTATTTCTACATCTTACTGGGTCAGCCGAACTACGTGGTGCAATCCAAAAGTTCCCGAAATATATTAATAAAAACTATTACGTCTTACCTGGATCTAATTCTGCACCATCACCTTCAAAGTAGTCCCCTTGGGGCAATAGAACTCTTTACTGACTGTCTGACCAGGAGGGATGAACTCCTTACAAACAATCCTGTCAGTATCAAAAAAACTGATCAACATGGACTTAATGTTGCTCTTGACTTGCTGAGCTTTTTTTGGCCGAGGTGAAGAAGGACTCTTCCATTGCGATGACTGCTGCTTACTTTTCAGGGTCGTAGCCATAAACCCAACTTTCGTCACCAGTGACAACCTTTGAAAGAAAGTTTGGATCCTCTTGAAGCTGTTGTTGAAGTTCCCTGAAGACTTCCCAGCGATGCTGCTTCTGTTCATGTTGCAGCAGTCATGGCACAAACTTTGCCGTAATCCTTCTCATGTTCAGTTCCTCTGACAAAATTCGTTGACATGTACCATAACTTAGTCCCAAGGTGTTACAGAGGTCTTTGATGCTCAATCTACAATCTTGCAGAATCAGATCCCTAACTTTCGCAACATTTTCTGGTGTGGTGCCAGTTGATCGCCATCCACAACGATCGTCATCATCAGTCGATGTTGGGCCATTTTTGAAATGCTTATACCAGTCATAAGTTTGTGTCTGGCCTAAACTGTTGTCACCAAAAGCTTGTGTCAACATTTGGGGCGTTTCTGCAGTGGTTTTCCCAAGTTTAATACAAAACTTTATACAGACACGCTGCTCTCTCAGGTCAGCCACTGCAAAACCACAAACTCATGGAAACACAACAATGGAAATATGTTCACCAACAATAAACCCAACCACTCAACTCGACGCCGCTTGCCACACTGATTCAAGAACGGTGTGTGTGGGGAGACACATAGCGGTATTTCGATGTACTCATAACCATTCGCGCGCAAAATTCAAATTTCGGGAACTTTTGGATTGCACCACGTATATTCCACATATCTTCATTCTGGTTCTTTGATTATCACAACAAGCATTTATATAACTGTGAACCATTTCAAAGTTGTCCTTTATTAAGTCTGGAACTTCTATAACATATTTACATGGTTCTGTTTGGTAGCAGCATTATGACTGTATTACTCTTGCTGTAATATTATCCTTCAAATTATTGATAACTAACTCTATGTAGTCCTGCATTTACATCACACCCTGATCTTTAGGCTTATGGCTGATACACTGTATATTCAGTAATGTATTTTTATCTTTGTATACTGTCTAATTTCTTCTACAACTGCACTTGCTAGCTGGATCCTGTGTTTCTTTTCAAAATACTGTGTACAAAATATTCTTAGTGTTTGGCCATGTTGTTGGCTTATTTCTACACCCCAGTCTGAAAATTACTAACACTGACATTTTTAATCCTTTAAAGACCCATACAAGCTGCTGGCCTGATTTAAAATTCACTGTAAAACACAAGCTGTGCCAGTGGCATGTAAACTGCATATGAACCCATAACTGTTTACTGTTTTCACCTAATCAAATGAACATATTTAAGTTACCACACTTGGAACAGCAATAACCCTCTTTATAACATACATGTATACAATCCATACCATTTGTAGTTCCTGCACTTGTAACATTATACTTGTAGCATAAGTCTCTTCTAAATATGTTCATCACACAGTCACAAACCATGATCATGAAATAAATCATGTGACACCATGAAAAAGGACAATTACTTCAGAAAAATAATGAATATAATAAAAACCCAATGAATGTTTCAATTAATTCTTCTACATAAATTTAAAAAGAGATTTCATAGAATGGTGGAGATACACCTCCACTCTCCCATACGTATCCATGGTGTAGTGATTAATTACTTAAGCACAGAGGCAACTTTACCTTACCTCAGTTAACTAAATATCATACATCTAACGGTTTTGTACAGTGAGCTGTATTTAAGAAAATTCAGTCTGAGCAAAAAGAGTGGATACCGATACTGACTCTTTCAATCATTTTATGAGCACCGAATATAAATTCAAATTTATCCAACATTTTAATGTAAATAATATTTCATTACACAATAAAAGCAGTACCTTGTCATTCCCATAAAACCTTGTTTGGATGACCTGAGTTCCACTGAAAAGGGTATGCTTCTTGTGTCCAACAGGATCATACAATTCATCTGAATGAGAAGGAGCAGTCTTTGTAACTGGCACACTTTCACCTAAAGCAAAGCAATGTATTATATTACAATTAAAATGCTTCAGAAATGGTAACTGGTGGAGTGCATGGGTGGATGAATGGATGTACAGCTTTAGGAATTAAGACAGAAAGAGAGGTGGCTGGGTAAAAAGGCTGACTGCCAGATGGACGGATTATACTTCGAGCCATCGAGGGACTGCACTGTACCTTAGATAACTGCCTATGGGCTGCTTTGTAACAAGTATTTTTCTCCAAAATACCAACAGAAATATTTGTCTTGCAATGATCAAAGAGCATGAATAAGAACTAGATCCATATGGTGCATCCTGCATTCCACCAGTAGGACAGATCTAATATAAACTATTTTGTAAGATTTGAGGCTTTCACGGCGGTGACTATGAAGAAAGCAGTCTTCTGGGATTTTGCACCGTGTATATGTGGTGTTAACCGACGTTTCGGAGGAACGTATCGCCTCCATCTTCAGGGTAGAAGAAAAAATATATAAGAAATCTGCAAGCAAAGAGACCGTGAGAACCGGTAAAAGCAGACTTTTTTTTACAGTGACTATGAAGAAAGCAGTCTTCGGTTCTCACGGTCTCTTTGCTTGCAGATTTCTTATATATTTTTTCTTCTACCCTGAAGATGGAGGCGATACGTTCCTCCGAAACGTCGGTTAACACCACATATACACGGTGCAAAATCCCAGAAGACTGCTTTCTTCATAAACTATTTTATTTGGAACTATTCATAAAGGACAATTAGTCTTCTCAAGATATATTTAAGGAACTTCACCCTTAAAAGGCTGTGGAAATGAAGGATATTGTCATGTGATAGAGTGACTACAGATGGGTGTTGGGATGGTAATCGGATTTACTGAACACTTACAGATCATAACTACAAGTAACAACAGTGTTATCACTAATTCACATACTGCAGTTCACTACAGCATATACTAAGCCATCTCAGTCTGCTATGTCTTCACCAGTCATTACCTCCAGACAGATCCCAACATTGTGCTTCTGTGCTCATATTCTTACCAGCTGGTGACTGTCCCACAAATCATACGACATTCCTAAGCAACGACTTACAACACTGGGTGCTCCTCCACCTCCCATGCCTCCACCAGGGACAACCATCTATGGTGACATCCAACAAGTGTCTCCCAACTGCTAAAAGCTAACCCAGCTCACTCCACTACACTAACTCTAATTGTCCTGCTTACAACCTCTTGGCACAGACCACACAGAAAACACTGTTCCTCTGCTGTTTGTGGGCTACCGCCTAGCAATGGCCACTGTACAGTTGCCAATCTCGTGGTTCTTGCCTAGCAACAGGTCTACATGCCATAATATGTATCATCTTCAATATACATTCTACAAAATGGTGTGTTTCACCAATCACAACCAGTCCATTTGGCACGAAGGAATAAATCTTCTTTAACCCTTTCCATGCAATGTATAACACATCCATCTCATCTGGAGAGACAGAGTTGATGTCTGAGGACATCACTGAAGGAATTGTGTCCAGTCTTCTCTCTACAGTTCAACATACTTGTGGCTTTGCAAAAACAGAAATTATGTTAAAAGTAAAGTCATTCTTTGCACTTAATTATTTAATTAAGCACTATGCAATGAAGACATATGGGGGAGTGGTGGTATAGTTCCACCATTCTTCACCACAGCACTGCATGTTACCATGAAAATATACAGACAGACTCTTTTAGAACATCCCTCAATTCACTGACTCACTCATCAAGTTAGGCCACAAAGATCTGGACTCCTAAAAAAACTAACAAACCTACAGCCCTAAAATGATACAAATTAAAATCTCCATATTAGATTTTAGGTTCTCATGGCAGCAATGATGAAAAGTACTATCCCCTGATATGTAACACCATGCAGTCTGGCAGAATCAAAGAACACCAGTAAATTTCTGTCAGGCTACACAGCAAAGCACTCTTCAAAAAGTTCTCCAGATTATAGATAATGCTGAAAATGCTCTCTGTTGCAATGGATGCCTTCCTGGCACCTCTACAGAAAGTCTGCATTCACATGTGGAAGTCCTTACCGAGAAATAACAAATAAAGTTGAAACTTGAAACTCTGGTCTCCTGGGCAAGGCAGCTGAAGGATTTCTGAGAATATTGAAGCCTAACACTGACCCCTTCCACCTTCTCTTCAGTGGACATGCAAAATTTCAGTTTGGCTTTTCTTTGGTCCAGTAACAATCATATACATTTTAATTTATTTACAATTCTGTGATTCATTCTTCTACATGAAACTGTTGCATTCTGAAATTTATATCGGAATCTTCTCTCTATTTCTCTTAAAGAACCACTTTTCACAAGGGTACTGTACATGATCACTTGTTGTTCCAATATGTATCTCCCACCAGCCATTCTGAAACAGGGGTTAAAGCCATATGGGGCTCAGAATAAGAACATGCTGTAAAATGAAGTATAAACTTGCTTCCCAGTAATTGTCCAATGGTTTGCTGTGGCAAAACTGGAGAAAATTTTTATAAAACTGATGTTATGCATGAATATTCTCTTAACATTGACACCACCACCGCCGCTGCTGCCACCACCACCACCACCACCACCACCACCACCACCACCGAGCATTTCCAGCATCTGCTGTAATCTGGGCAAGTTTTGCTTGTAATGCACTTGGGCCGCAGGTTTGTTGGTTCCACCAAGCAGGCCAAATCTGTGTTGCCTGACTGACTTCTAAGGAGAAGTGCCTGCCTCTACTGCCTCAGTCTGGCAATGACATGAGTGACATTCTAAAAGGCTCCTTGTAATAACTGACAAGTTTCTCTAAATATAAAGAAGTAAAAAAATGGTTAAATACCCTGCAGTATGCGCGCTAATAATAATGAACTTTTTGGGACAGATCACTAATTCATAAACCAGAGAGAACTGATATTTTACCTGTAAGCATGCTCTCATTTACAATGCAGTTACCGCTCAGCAGCACTGCATCACAAGCCATGATGCAGCCATGTGGTGGAATCACAATCACATCTCCAGGAACTAGGCTACTTGCAGAAATGTCCTCACAACCTGAAACACACAACATTCCCATTAAAATAGGGTTAGAAAATCTCAAAGAAAAAGACCACTTGGAAAGTAAGTTATAACAAAAATGCATAACATTCCAAAAATAATGACAGGAAAGCCCTCCTATTTTATTTTCATCAAGAACATCACTTTATTTCTTAATGCCATTTCCAAAACACAATTTTGAAGGATTTATTAGAACTCTTATGATTCTTTCATGCATTCTGGTAGGCAAACATGTAAAAAAAATGTAAAGTTGTCCCTGTGCTTAACTAACTAAGCGGTATGTCATGAAGATGTAGTTGGAGGTGAGTGGTCAGCTTCATGCCCCAGGTTAGGAGACGTGAGGTAATTTTGTACATATTTTTATGTTAACATTCTCAATGGCTACTAGGAGTTTTAATGTTTTACGACATTTATACTGCCTCCAGATTACACTAACATCAGACCATACAGAACATACCTATGCCTCTTCGACAGACAGTAACTGTCGCAGCATTTGAAGCAGCAACTAAATCTCTCAGTGCCTCACTTTGCTGAAAAAGACCACAAATATTAGATAAATAGACAAGTTCACACTGTAGAAGCTGTTTTCATAATTTTATTCACTGAGGAACCCTCTAATATACAAGTCGTGAAACAGCTACAAGGTGTCACATCCCAGAACACTACAATCTTCAGCATGGTAATACTTTGCAGAATTCAAATCTCTCTCCCCCCGATACACACCTTCATTGATACATAAACTAAGACTTAATGTGAGCAAATGAAACCAGGCTGTGGATACAGATCTATCTCTTGTCAACTGCAGATTTAATGTATCTGCAGCTTTGTATTTGAACCCAGTTCTTTCTACCATGGTATATGGCTTCCTACACCAGCATTTTTTGTGACCTGCTGTACCATAATTTTAGACTCTTAACGAATGTTAACAGCAGCTACGGTTTCCCTAACTCACAGTTTCCTGTAAGGCCTTAGTCTTGCTAGCTGAAGCTATGATAATAATGGCGTTTTGCATAAAAGATAATCCCCCAAATAAGGGACTGCTTTATACTGGATTCAATTGATTATGATTGGCAGACTGATTAGTTAAAGTGGATATACAGGGTGTCCCAGGAGGAATGTGCCAGACTTCGGGAGAGTGTTTCTTATGTTAAAGTATGCCAATATAACCCAAAACACCTACGTCCAAAATCGAACGGTTATGGAGATAATGGCCAAGAAAAGTGTGGTTTTCTGGCGGGTCCACGCACTGTACCAGTCAGCTGACAAGTCTCATCAATGTTTGTCCTTGAGTGTGGTGATGACGAGTCACACTAGCCGCATACACTCGCATACCAGAATGCGCAGTCAGCCATGTTACATCAGTGCGTGCCATTCCTGTGTCATGTATAGTGCTTGGAACCCTAACGACAACTATGACATGGCGTGCGAGTTTTTTTGTAGTTCAATTTAATGGCTTCATGTCACTCACAAGTTAATTTGATGTTACGTATAAATTGTC